GATCAAAGATAAATGCTTAAGAGTGTTGGTTCCTAGTATGCAGCATGACCATGTGCTAGCCATGGGCTACAAACAGCATGAACGAGATAAGACATGCATATCAGGCGCATTGTTCCCTTCCCGTCATTCTCGCAACACTGATGCTGTCTCGGTACCTGAGGCAAGAGGAATACAAAATTTAACCGACAAACTTTTCTAAACATCCGTGACAGAGATGCTACACACCAAACGTAAAAGCCTGTCACTTACATCTATGACCGCACAGCAAAGACATCATCGCTTTTTTAATCGTTGCGCATCATCAAAATTCCAAATGTGCCGGTACAGTTTCAAGCAGCGCAAATCTTTACAAAGCATGCCTGATTTCTTCCCACGGTGGGTCAAAATCGAAACATGACACGAGCTGTCATGAACTGAGTGCAACCACGCATGTCTTTCCATGTTAGATCAGCAATGAGCGCAGCCCCGACAGCAAAGAAAGCCTGCACATATGAATTTATAAGCATGCTGAATAGCATCATAGATGTCCCGGAAAGCCTGCTTATTCCAGGGAGAGACTTTGCCGCCTTCCACCACAGGCACACGAAGATAAACTGGATCAGAAAGCAACTTCGCACGCAAAACCATCTCTGCCCATCCGAAGACACCAGCACATGAATGTTATAGGTTGACGTAGACTGATCAGCACGAAATTCGGACAGCGTCCGCTTTCCCAGTTTCACATTGCATCGCAGCATCTCATAGAAGCGTTGCCGGAGTTGCTTGGCTAACGGACTGTCTGGACACCGAAGGTCAACTTTGTCACGCACTCTCTTTCACAGGCAACTTTGTCACACACGCTCTTTCACACACCATCTTTCACACACAACTTTGTTTCACACACAAATTTGTCACACGCCATCCACCTTCCTTTCACGTGGCAGGCGTGGCACTTGGTGACATCCACCTTCGTTTTGCGTGGCAGGCGTGGCGCTTGTTGCACTGGGCTGGCTCTGGTGGCGCGCTTGTGCGCCGTTAGTCGCCCGTGATGCCGCGGCGCTTTGCGTGGCAGGCGTGGCACTTGGCGACATCCACCTTCGTTTGGCGTCGCAGGCGTGGCGCTTGGCGACATCCACCTTCGTTTCGCGTGGCAGGCGTAGCACTTGTTGCACTGGGCTGGCTCTGGTGGCGCGCTTGGGCGCCGCTAGTCTCCCGTGACGCCGCGGCACTTTGCGTGGCAGGCGTGGCACTTGGCGACATCCACTTTCGTTTGGCATGCACCTTCGTTTCGCGTGGCAGGCGTGGCACATGCCGACATCCACCTTCGTTTTGCGTGGCAGGCGTGGCACTTGGGTGACATCCACCTTCGTTTCGCGTGGCAGGCGTGGCACATGCCGACATCCACCTTCGTTTTGCGGGGCAGGCTTGGCGACATCCACCTTCGTTTCGCGTGGCAGGCGTGGCACATGCCGACATTTACCTTCGTTTCGCGTGGCAGGTGTGGCACTTGCGCACATCCGCCTTCGTTTAGCGTGGCAGGCGTGGCACTTGGCGACATCCACCTTCGAGGCAGGCGTGGCACTTGGTCACATCGACCAACGTTATGTATGTCTTACTTTTGCGCGTGTTGCAGCCATGTTTGGCCATGTCTTACTTGCACACAGTGTTTGGCTGTATTAGCTACTTCGTCACTTGGTTATCTATGTATGGTCTGGTCGCTTTGGCCCAACGTGGGAAGAGACCCTGTGCACATTTGATAGATACTTTGTGGAAGCGATACTGGCCTGTTTCTGCATGTTTGATAGACGCTTAGTGGACGCGATGCTGGCATGTTTCGCATGTTTCGCTTTGGCCCAGCGTGGGAAGAGGCCTTGCGCATGTTTGATGGAAACTTTGTGGAAGCGATGCTGGCATGTTTCGCATGTTTCGCTTTGGCCCAAAGAGGCCTTGTGCATGTTTGATAGAAACTTTGTGGACATTCGTGTAGTCATCGGAAAAGCTGCTGCCGCTGCTACCGATTACAGGCCGCAGCCTGGCACCAGTCCACTGTACGAACTTTGCAAGCTTCAGACTTTGATGCTGCGAGACTTGGACCAGGTTCAACTGAGAGAAGTTGTGTGTGTGAAACAGAGTGTGTGACAAAGTTGTGTGTGAAAGAGAGTGTGTGACAAAGTTGTGTGTGAAAGATGTTGTGGGAAAGAGAGTGTGTGACAAAGTTGTGTGTGAAAGATGGAGTGTGGCAAAGTTGTGTGTGAAAGAGAGTGTGTGACAAAGTTGTGTGTGAAAGATGGTGTGTGGCAAAGTTGTGTGTGAAAGAGAATGTGTGACAAAGTTGTGTGTGAAAGATGGTGTGTGACAAAGTTGTGTGTGAAAGATGGAGTGTGGCAAAGTTGTGTGTGAAAGAGAGTGTGTGACAAAGTTGTGTGTGAAAGATGGTGTGTGGCAAAGTTGTGTGTGAAAGAGAGTGTGTGACAAGTTGTGTGTGAAAGATGGCGTGTGACAAAGTTGTGTGTGAAAGATGGTGTGTGACAAAGTTGTGTGTGAAAGAGAGTGTGTTCAAGAGAGTGTGTGACAAAGTGTGTGTTGAAGAGGAGTGTGTGACAAGAGAGTGTATGTGACAAAGTTGTGTTGAGATGGTGTGTGACAAAGCTGTGTGGGTGGAAAGATGGTGTGT